GAGTCTACAAACATCGGAAATTGCAAAATTTTCATCTCCGCGGAAACCTAAAGAAATAAAAAAAGAGAATCCAGATTGATGATTTTGACATGGGAGTTATACGAAGAAAAATTCATCAATTTTATACTAGTGATAAGAAAATCCCAAGTATTCGTAAGCTGCTTGCAGTTTTAAAAGAAGATGGCATTGTGAACTGCGGTTGTACCTATTTACGACAGCTTTTACATAAGATGGGATATTTATTTAAAAAATGTAAATCTAAGAGACACATTTTAATTGAGAGGCCCAGTATTGCTGAATGGAGAGTAAGGTATTTAAGAGCTATACGGAAACATAGAAATGAAAACAGAAACATATATTATCTGGACGAAACCTACGTTAATAGTAGCCACACCTCCAATATGTGTTGGCAATCCGAATCTGAGCCTGGAATTTATGCTGATATTGGCAAAGGGCGTCGTTTGGTGATTGTTCATGGTGGTAGCCGAGACGGATTAGTTAACGGTGCCTTAACAATTTTCAAATCAGATTCGAAATGTGGGGATTACCATGGCGATATGAACGCCACAAATTTTCATAACTGGGTTAGTCACAAATTGAAAAATAAACTAGCTCCTAATTCAGTGGTCGTAATGGACAATGCCTCCTACCATTGTGTACAGGTAAAGAAAAAACCTACTATGTCAAGTTTAAAAAGGGACATGCAAGATTGGTTAGGCGAACGTAATGTTGAATTTACACCAGATAATACAAAAGCCGAACTCTTTCATTTGATAAATAGAACTCAGTCCGAAAAAATTTACGTCATTGACGAAATATTAAAGGCTTCAGGTCATATCGTTCTTCGCCTTCCGCCATATCATCCTGATCTCAACCCCATTGAGCTTGTGTGGGCCGATATAAAGAACAATTTAGCTACAAATTATATAAATACTTCATTGGACGACAAAATTCCAATCATCACAAAATTGTTTTCTGAATTCACTCCGGGAAGATGGCAAAAGTGTGACAACCACGTACAGAAAATCGAGAACCAATATTGGGACCACGATATGAGGATTGACAATGTAATAGACGAGTTGATCATAAACCTGGGAAACGATTCAGATTCTGAGGAGGATATGGAAATTGAAGACATGTATAGTAATGAAGAAGAAGAAGATATGGATTAATTTTGTGCTATAACGGATTTCGCTATAGAACTATAGCTGGTATACCAACTGGTCCACTAGCTTTATTCATGTCTAGACACCGCAAGGTTTTAATAACCTCCTTATTTGTGATACGAACCCACAGGTCGAACATAGAATTCTCGCAGTAAGGTAATTTAGGTTTAATTTGGGTGGTGAGTTTAGAAAACTGTTTTGTATTATAAATAATAAAATCTAATTAACGCTTTTAAATACGTGTTAATTTTTGTTTAGCCCGGAAAATATAAATAATTTACCCATTATGTTAATTAAGACAGTTTCTAACATGGTTATCCGGAGATTTATCTGTCCTCAAATATCTCGTGTGCGTCTTGTCAATCGCGTCCTCCCCCCGTCTCGCCGCTTGCATACCTAAGGCGATGACTAGCACTTCCGCGCAGACTATATAGCATCAGCGTTAACAATAAATTCTACCACTACGATTTCTGACGCTATTAGCTCCGGCTCTTCAGCGCAAAAATGACAAAGAACAATGGCATCATATATTCCAAAAAAATGAGTATGCAAGAAAATAAACTGATAGATAAAGCATTGTTACATCTCTTCATTTGGGATTATCAGCCGTTGAGTATAGTAGAAGATAAAGGATTTTTAAAATATGCAAATGCTTTAAATCCTTCGTACAAACCACCTAGTCGGAAAACAATATCAGCCAGTTTGATACCATCGGCTTACACCGTCTGCAGGGAGAAATTAATGAAAGAAGTACAGCGAGAAGCTATGAGTGTATGCCTCACCTGATACGTGGACTTCTTCCGTAAATGATAGTTACATAGCAATAACCATACATTACACTACATCAGAATTAGAATGCAAAACGGTACTTTTAGAATGTGCTCACTATAGTGAAAAACATACAGGTGAACTACTAGCTAGACAATTAAAAAACACGATTGAAGCCTGGGGCTACACTGGAAAAGTAGTACTGGCAATAACGGACAATGTAAAAAATGTTGTAAATGCCATTAATTTGTTAGGGTGGAAGCATTTTGGATGCTATGCTCACACCTTAAATTTAGTTGTTGATGATGCATTAAAATTTTTTAAAGATACTTTAGAAAAAATAAAAAATATAGTATCATATTTAAGAGAAGTTCATCTGCAACAGATAGATTGATAAAATATCAAGTTCAACAACAGATTAATATACCCAAAAAACTCAAGCAATCTATACCTACTCGTTGGAATTCAACATTTTTCATGTTGCAGTGCTTTGTAGAGTTGGAAGAAGCAGTGCGGGCCACTTTGGCCCTGGTGCAGAGATTTTGATGAGTCTCTATCTGAAGACGATTGGATTATATGCACGCAACTTACCACTATTTTAAAGCCATTTGAGCAAGCAACAGCCAAAATAAGTGGAGAAAAATATACAGTATGGCGATAGTTGTAACGCTTGGTTTACATAACATGTGTGAAAATTTGCTTAAAAACCAATACAAGCCTGTCATTAGCAATGTGTTACTGAAACTAAAAGAGGGACTTTCAATGAGATTCAATAACATTGAATACCATAAAGAGTTGGCTATGAGCACACTTTTAGATCCGAGATTTAAAATGAGTGGCTTGAGTGATAAATGTGCAGCAGATCATTCCAAAAAAGAGCCATTGATATGGTTGCTACTATGATCAGCAACTCTGTTGTTACACATTATCCCACCACTTCCAATGAGCCGCCGCGATCTGGCTGTTCAAAAGAGATATCCATATGGGACGACTTTGATTGGGAAGTTAAGAATTTACAGCCAAGAAGCTCACCTATGGCAAAAGCGATTACGGAAATAGGAGCATATCTAGAAGATGCATTATTGCCCCGAAACTCCGAAGACACACCCTTTGAATGGTGGAAAAACAACTGCCATCTTTATCCAACACTATGCAAGTTATTTATTAAAAGGGGCAATTTCCTGGCTACCAGTGTGCCTTGTGAACGAATATTTTCGAAAGCTGGGTACATTATTAATGACAGAAGGACCCGATTAACCAGTGAAAAGGTTCGCCAATTGGTGTTTTTAAATATTAATAAAAGTTAAAAATATTGCTGCTATAAACAATTTTTGTTTGACTTTTTTCATCCACAAATATAATTTCTCGTTACTCAAATTTCATAACCAAATTTAGTTTTAATAGAATTAGGATGACGACGCACACAGTACACCTAATGGTACGTGAATGTAGTGGCCCATAGACGTCTACATCTATCCTCGATTAACAATTAAAATGCAGATGCATTGTCACCCCTGAGGACTGAGATGGAATGCCTCGCTTAGTGCCCGTAAAAGGGTCTCTTTACACTCACTATATAAAATACGGCAGCATTAAGCTGCTATTTTACGTTGGTATTTTTTGAGACGAACCAACCCATTCACGCTACAACCATAATAAAGCTGTAGCGTGACTATACCACGTATAATACCTAACTAATAATGACTAAAGACACAAAATAAAAACATAGTTCATATAGGTATGTATAACATTTAATTTTATTAAGTACTAATTTAATATTACATGGCAATTAGAAACCTGTTGCAAAAAAAACCTGTTGCTGCAACAGGTTTCATAAAAAAAATGTAACTGGTTGCATCATTGCGTTAAAGCAACGATAACGCCCATCTCTAGTATGTAGTATGTAGGTACCCTCTGTTAACTATGACAGCAGGACATCCAACACCTCAGTCCCCTTCATGACCATTCGTCCTGTAGAGTGCACTCATAGTCATCAAATGTCGGGACTTGAAAAAGTTAAAATTAAATGTGATAATATATAAATTAGTATATGAAATTAATTTTATTCCATAACTGTTTATTAGTTAATTCAATACACTATTTGCAAACTTAAATTTTATTTACTAATAATAAACTGGGGCATATTATCTGATTTTATCAACAATACAAGGATCAAATTTTATTATAAAATTATTAATACAGAAATAGACCATTAACCGTGCATTGTCTTGTTTTATTAGTACCATTGCATATTCCTCTCATAGTACTATTTTCAATACCTCTTTGACAAAGAATTTGATCAACCAAATATGAACAATTAAATGAAACATTACTGCCGAGTCAAGCAATACTTGTACCTTTATGAACCCATTATTCTTATTTTTAATTTCACAATAGCGGTTGGAACTAAAACTTCATTGGGAATTTTATAAAATAACCCTACCTCCGTAGCGCAGTGGCTTAGCAATGAATTGTAGCGCTAAGGATCGCATGATTGAATTCCAGACGGAACAAATATTTTTATGGCCTACAAATATTTTTTTACAATTGTTCCAGGTCTGAATGTTTGTCCTTGTGATATTTGTGTTTCTAAACTGCCTCTACGATACAGGAGAAAATACTAGTGCATGGAAAAGGTTTTTAAAACAGAAAAAAGAAAATAAAAGTAAATCAGTATCAGTTTTTGATGATATTTGTGCTTGAAGTCTCACTAGTCCTAAGTTGCTGACGAGTCATGCAACAGTTTGATACGGTTTCACTTACAAATAGCACATTTAAAATTAAACCTACATTTTCCAGGATGTGCATTAAGCGGTCTACACACCAAAGCCGCTGACCCGGCGGCACGGATCGCCGGCCCAACCCGCCGGCCTTATTTTGTACAATCATTCCGCCGGCTTGCTCCCGCGCGGGCAAGCCGGCGGGGCAGCATGCCGATGCCGACGGCATACCTCTCCACTCACTCAGTCAGTTGGCCGCCGGCTTTCATAGAGTAGTGACGTATCACTTATTCATTCTCTGTTGTTGTGAAGTGTCGGCACTTTTATTTTTTATCAACTAACCAATATGGAGTGGGACGATGCAACAGTTATAAAACTAATAGACCTCTATCATTTAAAAGAAATATTATGGAACCCAAAAAACCGTGACTACAAAAGCCGGCCAAAGCGTTACGACGCATTTAATGAAATTGCCAGTGAATTTGCTACTGATGTTCCGGAAATCGAGAGAAAGATAAAAAATTTAACTAGTCATTATTACCGAGAGAAAAAAAAAGAAGGTAATTCAAATAAGTCTGGTGCGGGTACTGATGATATTTATCATAGTAAATGGTTTGCCTACAAATCACTAAATTTTCTGCCGAACAAAAATGTGCCTACTGGAACCACTGATACTGTAAGTAAAGATTTAATTTTTTTTATTTATAATCAGGCAACTAGGGCCCCATAGACATATAATTATATTAGTTTATTTATTAGTGTATCTTTGTATTTACATTTTAACCCTTTCCCGGGCATTGGCAAAATAGTTGCCACTCAGGTAAAAAAAAATGTGTTTGAAAAAAAAAATAATTGAAATGTTGAAGACTTATTCAGTGCCTTTAATAAAATCCATAATAAAAAACCACAATAAATGTTGATTTTGACTAGATATACTTATTTATTTTTTATTAAATAAAAGTAAAACGGCTAAACGGGCAGTCTTTTTCGTCTTTTTTCGCAGGACACACCGTCGACGAGCCACGATTCACAACGAGATTCACAATCAAATCAAAATGATTTACCACAGATGTCGCCAGAAAATACAACTTGGCAACGAAATAAACGTCCTAAAATCAACCCTAATAAAGAGTTGATATCCGAAGCATTGAATATTATGAATAATGTCTCCCAACGTCCAAATGTGACAAAAGATGAGGATGGTTTATTTGGAGATTATATTGCGGGTCAGTTAACCCTTAATAAGGCAATAGGAACATTATTCCCACATTGAATTTCACAGTTTAAACGGTCAATGGGACGTATTTTTCCATGAGCTGTCACTGTCATTTCGTAGTTGAATATATTATCTATGTTTTATAGGCCTGTGATCGTGTTTTCGAACGAAAGAAAAAATAAAAAAGAGATGTCAACGTCATTGTCACAATAATTACTCACCGGTAATTATATTGTTATGCAGTTTTGTTAATGAAATAGATAATATGTCGAGAAAAAATCCGGTGAGTGTTCATTTTTGGTTATTTTGCATAGATGTAATGTTTTTTCAGTTGTTGATGTGTTTTATTTTTCCAAATAACAAAAAATGACTTGGTTTGATGGATTCAAAGTATGTGGGAAATATTTGCTTGTTGCCCGTTTAGGTTTCCTACGTAACGATTTATGTGGGAAAACTGTTTCCGTAGGAAGCATGCAGGATTTCTATTTATCTCATAAGCACTGTTTTACGTTTCAGAAACCACTTCACGATTCTGAAATTGAGATCCAGCTGTCACAGCTACTTTGTTCATCGGAAGAAGAAAACCTTGATGATGAAGCAGTTGACTCTTTTGCCACCAGTAGTTACAATGTCGATTTAGACAAGCGTTTGGATGAGATTCAAGGTATTTCTGTCGAAGAATTACATTCTTTATTGGTGGGAGAATCAGATTTGTCTCTTATCCAAGATGAAACTTTTTTGAATTCACCAGTTCAACAGATTTTTAAGCCGATTCTTCCTCAAGTGGCTTCAACTTCACAAGATGCAATCGCTGAAGTCCATGCAGGCCCTTCTCTTGTGATTTCGGATGTTCCTATGCTACTTGATCAAAATCCTGGTGAAACAACCTCACTTGTTTCTGTAGCTGATGTCCAGGCAGACCACTCTTCCCTAGTACCACTATTGGCAGAGCCTGATGAAAGCTCTAATGCAGAACCAACATCTTCTTTCTCTAGGGATAAATTCATTCGATTTCAAAATAAATCAAGAGATTGGTCTTTTGCAACTGATGATATTACTTGGCCTATTTTCGAGAAGAAAATGCAGATAAAAAAAATTACAATAATAGAAGTCAACCACTGGATTATTTTCTTGACTTTTTCCCTGATGAGTTACTTTATATTATTGTTGAAAATACAAATATTTATGCAAGACACACACATTCAAAAGCTTGGACTGAAGTTACAAAAGAAGAAATAAAAGCATACTTAGGAGTGATTATACTAATGAGCATAAATCCATTAGCAGATATAAATACTTATTGGTCAACTGATGAGTTTTTCAGAAATCCTGTTATTTGCAAAGTAATGCCCTTAAAAAGATTTAAAAAAATTACACAAAATCTCCATATATCAAATATTTCCACAGAAGCTCCACGAAACTCACCAGATTATGATAAATTGGGTAAAATTAGACTTGCCATTTCAATCCTAAACAAAGTTTTTCAAGACAATGTTCAAGTGTCAGAATTTAATTCAATAGACGAAAGTATGATCAGGTTCAAAGGTCGTAGTCACATGAAGCAGTATATGCCCAAAAAACCTATAAAACGTGGGTACAAGTGTTGGGCAAGAGCAGATTCTCTTACAGGGTATTTATATGAATTTAAATTTTATACTGGTAAAGTTAATACTGGAACTGAAGAGAATTTAGGGGCCAGAGTCATAATGGATTTGTGTGAATCTCTGCCAAGCCATACATTAGTGGCTTTTGATAATTTTTTTACCAGTCTGCCACTGATGGAACTTTTACATGAAAGAGGCATTTACGGTGTTGGAACACTAAGAATGAACCGTAGGGGCTTACCAGATTTGATAACAGGAAAATATTTAACTGGTGAGTTTATATATCAGTATAATACACCTATAGGAGTATTGAAATGGAAAGATACTAAAGATGTTTTTCTTGGAACTACTGCGTTTGATCCTCGAGCAGTTGAATTGATTGAGAGGAAACAGAAAGATGGTAGCGAGAAGAAAATATACTGTCCACTTTCGATTAAAAAATATACAGAGTTCATGGGTGGTGTTGATCATTTCGATCACTTTAGAGCATCATACCCCCTAGGACGAAAGTCGCGGAAGAATTGGCACAGACTTTTTTGGTTCTTGTTGGAGGCAGCCGTCATCAATTCTTATATTGTTTATATGACGTCACATTCAGAAAGGAGAAACACCCATAAAGAATTCCGGTTGCGATTGGGCAGAGGACTCATCAACAATTTTTCATCAAGAAAAATCCTCGCGCCCGTGTTCAAAAACAAAAAAGGAGGTACCATTTCAGTACCGGAAGAGATTCGAAAATCGGACGTAGGATCCCACATGCCCGAATTGACCAAATTTCGAAGATGCAGAATGTGTAGTACACGTGAAAAGGAGCAACGCAGCAAATATATGTGTAAAGTTTGCAAGGTATCTTTATGTGCTGCCCCTTGTTTTGAAATGTTTCACAAATAAAATAAATGAGATATTATCTTTCAATTTAGTGTTTTTATTTACTTCAATTATCTTAGTCTGACTAACTGTTCCTAATATGTAATGTAAGTATGAAATATATTTCCCACTAGTTGGGAAATAATTTCCCAGGAATCACCAAAGGTTACAATGTAATCGGTCAACAGGAATTATTTTCCCACATAGTTTCCTGAAAAACTGAAAACACGTAAAAAATACTGATATGAAATCCTAAATCTGTATGTACCACTAATTACATACTAGCTTTGAAACTTTTGCAAACATCCACAGTTTAGCCATGCCCTATTAAGGGTTAAGACAAATGTATCGACAAATGAAAGCTATTGTGAGACATCGGATCAACAATATAATATTTGAAGCCGAAACTGGATATAGATCCGATACATTTACGGATTTTGCAAGACCAAGTAGTGTTTCTAGTTCACACAGTCATCCAGGATACTATACAGCATCTTCACTTCAACAGACGGTTGTAAGCCCTTCTACAAATAACTTAACTTCTTCTGAATACTCTGCCCAAACAAACCCAGATCCACAAACAATTCAACCTTCGTCACTAGAAACATTTGCTGAAGAATACCTAGCTCTAAATCCTTCTGATAGTGTTATAAAGTAATCTTCAAAATATGTTATAAATATTTAATTTTCTTTTTTGGTATAATAAAGGTAGCTATAGGTAGCCCCATTAAAGTTAAATTTAAAATTAGTGTTGACTATTCCCTTCACACGAGTAGAGCTTGACATATGTGCGAAAGGAATAGCAAGGTTTTAATTTTAGTTTAGTGACACTTCTACTGTTACCAATAGTTAATATCACGTTATTGGTTTACAAAAACACATTTCTTATTTTGTTTAAAACTTTATTATACGAATCACAATAAAAGTGTATCTCACTATGTGTAATTTACGATTTTAGATTTAATGGATAATACATGGAACTACTTAATGATTAAAAATAATATTGATTATATGAGTTGAGTTATTGGTTATATTGCCATTCTAATCCTCCGACACTAGAAAGAAAATAATGAGTCAACTCCACTCTTGTATCCTCAGCGGTCACTGTAGTATCCGAGGTTTGATTGTCTTCTCCTGATATATTATCTAAGCAACTGTCGTTTTCAAGATGTCTACGCCATTCACTGGGAAAGACTTCTCCTTGATTATTTTCAGTATCGTATTCGTTTTGCTGAGTTGCAGCGGTTCGTTTGATATAATTAAATAAATGTATACACGCCAAAGTTACAGTAGTAGCTTTTTCTGGGATTAGCTGAATAGGTCTATGAAAAATCTTAAATTTGTGTGTTAACTGCCCAAACACGTTTTCAACTACTCTTCGCCCTCGACATACGCGATAGTTAAAAACCCTCTTAGATGATCCCATTGTGTGATTACCATCATAAGCCTTTATAATATGGGGTTGCAGAGGAAACGCATCATCACCCAAAAAAAAATACGGTACTGGTAGATTCCTTCCGGGTAAAGGGGTTTTATGTGGTATATTCAATTCATTATCATTTAACAATCGACCTAATGCTGAATTATTAAAAACCCCACCATCTGAAATCCGACCCCGACATCCCACATTAGCGTACAAAAAGTTGTAATCAGCATCTACTAAAGCAAAGAGCACAATACTGAAATATTTTTTATAGTTTATATAATCACTTCCACTTTTTGGGGGACATTGAAGTTTTATGTGTTTCCCATCCATTGACCCAAGACAATTGGGTATTTGCCATCTTTTTAAATATTCATCTGCAATTTCTCTCCATCTTTCCTGACTCCTTGGAATTTTCACATAATCTGAAAGTCATTCAACTAAAGCATCACATACTTCAGGAATAATGCTTGAAATTAGTTGAGGAGATACTTTAAAGACGTCGCACAGGCTACTAAAAGAATTTCCTGAGCTTAGGTATTTTAACGTTATTGACAATCTTTCCACTGATGAAACTGCTTTTCTGTAATTTGTGTCTTGTTTAGCTATTTTGTGTCCAACAATATTCAGTAAATATTCAAAGTCGGTACTGGTTAATGACAGGAAGTCTTAAAAGAATTGGGTTTCTATAGAACCAAGTCGTCTTCCTTTAAATCACTTAATCTTTGACAAGTACTGTATTTATTGCGACTCATTAAACTTGGCCTAACCCAACACTTTCGTGTGTTGAGGGATCCACCGATAATAACTCCACAAAATGCTATTATTAAATCACTGTTATCGTCCTCCTCCATGTCAATCTGAAAATACTACTTCTGAATTATTCGAAACACACACGTCCAATCTCTACGACTATTTGGCAATTACTAGAACACCACATGCCGCGGCTGTCGTGCCGCCGGCATTGCCACCGGCAAAGTCGTTCGGCTTGGACATTCTGAAGCCGCCGGGTTAACTCGCCGGCACTAAGCCGCCGGGCTGTGCCGCCGGGTCCGCGGCTTTGGTGTGTAGACCGCTTTAAGGCAAACAGTGCATAATTTATAATTTTTTATGAAATGAAATCAACCTTTAAAAATGGCCACTTTAAATTTATAGCAAGCATGAACACTGTGGGAATGTGTTTTTCAATACTTAGCAATACTTGTGTAACACTGCAGGTAAACAATGAACTTTCGTATCTCACATGCGGAGCGCTAGTGGGAGTTTCAAGCACCAAAGCCTTTTATTCTAAAAATTTTAAAAAAGATGGCAAGCTGAACATAGTACTAGCTGTTTTACTCTCCAAGTAAAATGACCACAAAATATATTGATAGTTTTTTTTTCCAAATTACATAATTCCAATATTGGATTGATTACTCTTAGCTTTTTAAAGTCCTAATGCTGGTTAATATCATTTCACAACTAATTTGATTAACATGATGGGTAATAGTGTAGAGTATGAAAGCCATATTGTAGGCTTATGAAAAAAACTAACATCTGACAGTTGTCAATAAATAAAAAGGTATGAATGCAAATTGTGTTTTAGTGGTGAAATCCCCATAAATACACAATATTTGGCGACGAGGATCTTATTCACGTATTATTGAGTGCAATATTTAAAGTGAAATAGATACCAAGAAATAATGTCGAATAAAGGAAATGTGTTGTTCGGCAACAGTCTCACATTTGATCACCATATGCAAGAGTGGGATATTTTTAAGAGTCGATTTGTCCAGTTTTATATGGCAAATAATTATCATGATGACACTGATAAAACAGGAGTTATGAGAAGACCTTTTTTGCTTACCTCATTAGCAGAAGATACATATCGCCTAGTACGTGACTTGGTTTTTCAGTTAAAACTATAAGATTTAGCTTATAAGACTCTCATTGAAAAGATTGACAACCAGTTTTCCCCAAAGAAATGTACATTTGCGGAAAGATATGTTTTTTGTAAAGCAGAACAAAGACCAGGCGAAGATTTAACTGAATGGGCGGCTCGGGTTCGTCATCTTGCTCAGTTTTGTGGTTTCAAAATAGAACTGGAGACGGCATTAAGGGACAAGTTTGTGCTGGGATTGGCAAATGTCAAGGAAAAAGAAAAGCTTTTTAGTGAAAATATCGATAGCTTAATATTCAACAAAGCGTTGGAGTTAGCACAAAGTGTACAATGTGCTCGAGTTGCAGTTCAAAGGCCATTGCAAGATGAGGGACTAGTCACATCATCAGCGACAGCACAACCGGTGTTCGCTTTACGAGCCCAAGAAAATGCTGTTCGTCAAACTACAGCAACAAACACATCTTGTTCGGTCTGTGGATATAAGAACCATACTAAAGACAAATGTCGATATGCGAATTATTTTTGTCAAAAGTGTAATAAAAAAGGGCATTTAAAACGTGTTTGTAAGAGTACATATAAGAGCAACAATTATTAGGAGGTGGATGACAACGATTTAGTAAAAGATATTTCATTTGATTTGTAAAATATTGGGTGTTTAAACGGTATGCCGATGAGACTGGTCGTGTCGATAGCGTCAAAGCGAATTTTATGTGAAATAGATAGTGGTAGTGCTGTATCCGTTCTACCGGAAATGGTTTATCAATCATATTTTCACAATAATTATTCATTAAACCATTGTAACGTTATTTTAAATTGTTATAATGGCTCGAAAATATCTCCTTTGGGCTATTGTTTATTACCGGTGACGTATGAAAATCGTACTGAAATTATTCGTTTTTATATTATAAAAACAGATATAAAATAACCAGTTCCTATGGGTCGTAATTTTATAACGTGTTTTAATATGAAACTGTGTATTGGTAACTGTAACAACTTAGAACATAACGATTTAGTAAAAGAATTGAAGGAAAAAAAAACAAAAAAATAAAACACCAACACAGATATAGGCATATCAGCTATAAGCTGCTCGCCTATTACCAGATAATAATAATAATAATAAACATATTCACAGTTGTTTACAGATGAGCTGGGAACTTTTAATAAATATAAAGTAACTTTAAAAATAAAAAATGATGCTCAGTTAAAGTTTTTTAAGCCGAGAATAGTACCATTAGCTTTGAAACACAAAGTTGAGTTAGAATTAAATAAACTTTTAGATTTAGGTATTTTAGAGCGCGTAGATTATTCAGAGGTAGCGACACCGATCGTACCCGTTTCTTCGGTCAGACGGTAACATACGAATATGTGGCGATTATTCAGTGACGTTGAATAAATTTTTATACTCTGATAATTACCCGCTTCCACGAATAGAAGATTTATTTATTATTATTATTATTTATTTCATTATTCAGGTAAGCGTAAGCGCATGTTTCCGTAATTAAGTGTCAAAGTTCAGCTTCTACCATTGTAGTACGTGCGAGTATTGACGTAATAAAACTGAATGTAAGTAAATTTATTATTTTGTGACTTTTCTACTTTACAATGTATTAAATTTGAAGGTTTATTTTTTGACAATGGAACAATAACTATACTGTTTGCAGTTCAGCATGTTAGTGTGTATTTAATAATTATTATTACTTTGTTTCAGCGAAATAAATGGATCCACACTTAGAATCTCGCTTGAGCCGGTGGTTGCATGAAGAACAAGATGATGAAGAAGTGATTCAAAGTGAATCTGGTGATGGGGAAGAAGGAGTACAACCAATGGAACAGGAAGACCTGGCACAGGAAGCCGTTAACGAAAACCATGCGTCATCGTCTGAAGATGACATGCCTCTTTCTGAACTCGCTCAAAACAATACACGAGACGATGTTTATGTATCTAGAAATGGAACACGGTGGAGTAAAACATGTACTGCTGCAACACGGGTAAGATCTCAAAACATCCGGTTTAGACCTCCAGGTCCAAAGGGTGCTGCAAGAAACGCTGAAACGCCATTATCTTGTTTCGATCTATTTTTTGATGCGAGTATTTTCGATATCCTTGTTACTTGCACGAATATTTACATCGATAAAATACAGAACCGTTACCAGAGAGAGAGAGATGCAAAGAGAACTGATTTGGTTGAAATGAAAGCGCTAATTGGATTGTTACTAGGCATAGGAGTCTCGCATTCAGGTCGTCGTAATCTCAATGACTTCTGGGACAATTCCAAAGGTACAGGGCTGCAGCTTGTATACTGCACTATGTCTATAAACCGATTCAGGTTTCTTTTACGTGCCCTTCGATTTGATGATGTAAATGACAGAGAAGAACGACGTTGCCTTGATAAATTGGCACCCATTCGAGCAATTACACAAAAGATGGTAAAGAACTGCCTCGATAATTTTACCCCCAGCGATTATCTTACATTGGATGAAAAACTAGTGGGATTTAGGGGACGATGTGGATTTATCATGTATATCCCAAACAAACCAGACAAATTCGGTATAAAAATATACATGGTGGTTGACACAAAGTACCCTTATGTGTACAACTTCGAGGTTTACGCCGGGGCTCAGCCAGAAGGGCCGTTCCATCAATCCAACAAAGTAAACGATGTTGTTCTCCGTGTTCTCGAGCCACTTTTCAATCTGGGGTGCAACGTGACTATGGACAACTATTTTACGAGTCTGCCTACAAGCTTGGAGTTACTAAAAAAAAGGATTACAGTAGTGGGCACACTGAAAGCTAACAGGCCGGAGTTACCCAATGAGTTCAAAAAATCGAGGAACAGGGCCTCAAAGAGCAGTGTTTTTGGGTTTAAGCCAAACTGCACATTGGTCTCATATGTGCCTAAGCAAAACAAATCTGACGCATTACTTTCTACAATGCACTACGACGATGCTATAGATCCAGAAACCAATGATGACCGTAAACCGGAAATAATCACTTGTTATAACCGTACTAAGTGTGGCGTGGATATTCTCGACAAAATGTGTAAACAGTACAGCGTTTTGCGAAACTCCCGACGATGGCCGCTAACACTTTTTTTCAATTATTTATATTCAAATAATGGAATAAATGCCTTGATTATCCATCAACTAAATAAAGGCCAGGAAAAGATTGTGAGACGCAATTTCCTCTACGATCTTTCGTACGAGCTGGTAAAACCCCTCATGGCAAGAAGATTGACATTTGAAAACCTCCCCAGAGAATTAAAAAAATAAAACAAAATGGCTTCTGGGCATACAGATGAGGAGCCTCGCAATGAACCTCAAAGAATGGGAAGAGTAGGCAAATGTTGCCTGTGTTCTCGAGCCCGAAATCGGTCCACGAAAAAGTGGTGTAAACGATGTGTCAGGTGGATTTGTCCTGATCACCAAGTTGTGGTCAGTATCGAATGCGAGGATGGTGACCAATAAGACAGTCACCTATTATTAGAAGTTTTTTTTTATGAGCTGATCTCAAACATGCGAAAAATGTTGATTATTTTGTTGATCTCTTAAATTGTTCCTAAGTTAAGTATATTCTATTAAAACTCAGATTTTTTGCAATAACTGTGTGTAATTATAAATAAAGAACCAATATTATGCAGATTTATCATTTTAAAACCACTCGCTTCTTAAATATTTACAATATTGTTTTCTACCAGGGTAGAGCATGCGAGCATCCATGTAAAAAAAAGGGGCGCGTGCACTGTAGTGTTAAAACCTATTACGGTAAATGACATTAGGAAAGAAACTATGTAAGATCAAATACTCTGTAAAATTATAAATTTTGTTATAAATGGCTGGCCTTTGAAAATGCAAAATGCGGAACTTAAACCGTATTTTAAATGTAAAAATGATTTAAGTGTCGAAAATGGGTGCCTATTAAGGGGACATAAAGTGGTTATACCAACAGTTTTTAGGGAAAGTCTACTTAAAGAATTGCATAAGGCCCATTTTGACATTGTAAAGACTAAAAATGAAGCGAGATCACGTATGTGGTGGCCCAATATTGATAAGCAGATTGAAGAAATAATAGGATTGTGTAGTATTTGCAACTCGCTCCGCTATGATCCACCCCATTCTCCACTGGCATCGTGGCCATTTCCGAAACGTGGTACGTGGTAGAGCCATGCTGCAGTTATATTAGTAGTATAGTTGTAGCACGAATGGGTCGGCTCGACCGGGGAAGGACCACGCTCTCACAGAATACCAGCGTGAAATAGTAGCTTAATGCTGCTATATTTCGTATGGTGAGTGTAGAGAACCGGAGACCCTTTTTACTGGAAATGAGGCATTCCATCTCAGACCTCACGGGTGACAACGCATCTGCATTTTGATTTGTAATGGAAGATAGATGTAGATGTCTATGAGCAACCACTTACAATCAGGTGGACTGTGTGCTCGTTTGTCAGCCTATTCTATAAAAAAAAAAAAAAAAAAAAAACCTCCTTGGGAACGAGTTCATTTAGATATGTAGATATATATTAAAAATTGTTTATCCAACAAACAATTTTTAATTATTGTAGACGCACATTCAAAGGGGATTGAATGTTTCCAAATGAATAATACAGATAGTGAAGCAATTATCAGCAAACTTTCAGAGATTTTTAGCAGATTTGGGTTATATAATGATTTCTTATATTTACGCGAACACTACACATGATTAAAACTACTTTTACGGATTTTATCGCGTTTATTTTTGCTTTTAATTACTTTTATTTTTAATTCCCAACGTTTCGGGCGCTTTCCAGCACCCATGGTCACGGAGGACTGAGATGACTGACGTCCCGATGTCATTGTTAAACCCGGAGTACCTTCAACTTTTTTAATTATTGTTTATGGTCCGATCTATGCAAATGAACTATGTCTTGAGGTCTTGCAGTGGTATGCTTGGGTTTAGTTTTAATTTTATTGATTATAGGATCCCAAGCAGGTGGTAGTACCCAGCCTCCTTCTCTATTGAAATTAGGATGTTTTTTAATTTCAATAGCCTCACGTATCATCCTTGGTAGGAATCGGTGTTCTTTCGCGAGGATTTGTGGTCTATCAAATCTGATGTAATGGTTGGGGCCGTCTAGGATATGATCACAAACTGCAGACTTCCCGGAACGTTGACTAACCCGTGACCATGGGTGCTGGAAAGCACCCGAAACGTCGGGAATTAAAAATAAAAGTAATTAAATGCAAAAATAAACGCGATAAAATCCGTAAAAGTAGTTTTAATCAGATTTGGGTTATGTCGCACTCTGGTAACCGATAATGCGAGTAATTTTTGTTCAAAACAATTTGAAAATTTTTGTTTGTCAAATGGTATACAACATTTAACTTCTCCTTCATATCACCCAGCATCAAATGGGCAAGCAGAAAATGCCGTTAAGATAGTTAAAAGGGGATTAAGGATTATTTTAAACACACATACGGATCAAAAATCGATAATTAATAAATTAGGGCCATCCGCTCCGCTGTCGACTCAACTTACTTAGGGACCACAAATTTGAGCAGAACACCAATGATACATCTTTATCATCCACAACCAATAATGTTGCAAATAAACAGATCTTACAGAGTGAAAACTATGATGGACGAAGAAAGAGCAATTTTAACATAGGATAAAGTTTTAGTTAAGTTTTTTTACAACAATGGCAACGATTACACGTCAAAGTTCGGAGTAGTTAAAAATAAATTAGGAAATAGATTATTTACTGTTTTTGTTCCGGAGTTAAATAAATATTATAAGAAACATGTCGATCATATTGTTGCATACATAGGAAATAAAAATGAAGAATATGATTTAGATTTGAGTAGGTAATTTTGAAAATTTTTCTAATATGTTGAGTAGTACAGAAGTTGATACCATAACTTCCGACTCCTTGTTATTATAGGAGAAGAGGGCGAAAGTTCTGGCAGTAAATCCAATCAACATTTAGAGGTACCCATGCAAGGACTGCCTTCCCGCTCAACTAGATATCCGAATCCAAAATATAAATTTTAAAAAATTACATGATTAGTTATACATTTTTATCATTACTTATGTTTTTTATATTTAGTGGTGGAAAGAATGTAAAGTATGAAAGCTATATTTTTTTTAAATAACTATATGGCCCTTGGTATTGTGATAATGTCACAATAATTCTGCCAATGTCTGGTCTTCGGTCTGTCACACCTTGTCTTGAGGCTTTCCGGTGGAAAAGGAGTTAGTGGTTATTAGGTGAGAATGTGGATAAAAACAAAGCAACTAAATATATGAATAGAGGACCACACAATATAGAGTAAAAATCTAGTTAAAGGAAAACGAAGTATTAGCCTGGGCAGGGAATATAGAATTAGGTTAAGCTAAATTTAGTACACAATAATTATACTTTAATATTTTACATTCGAATATATTTTGAGATTGTATTGACATATATGGAATCGGGGATAGTTAAGAGGGAATTGATATTAACTGGTCGAGGGATTGTTTTGGGAAGGATGTCATAAAAAGAAATTGGGTGATTTTGACAACTGAAGAAAATGTGGTCTGGGGAACCTTCATCCAGACCACATTCACAGAGGGAATGATCTTTGATTCTAATTTTAGCTAGGAATACAGGAGTGCAGACAGGCCCGAGCCTTAAACGACAGATTGTAGATGTGATTTGTTTGTTCAGAAACCTAAATTTGAAAAACCAAGGTTTTGGAGGAATTTGGGGTTGGATTTTACCAAAGTAGCTACCTTTACTATGTCTGGATATGCTCCAATCTCTGTCCCAAGAATTCTTTAATTCAATTTGAGCTAATGATATTAAATCATGAGAGTAATTCATTAAATGAGAAGGGCAGCCAGTATCTACCGCTCCTTTGGCCCAGGAGTCAGCCTGTTCATTTCCTTCTATGCCACAATGACTAGGAATCCACACAATCTCTACCTCAAGCCCACTCTTATTACAATTTAGTATGAGTTCTTTAATTTTCAGTATCAATGGGGAGATGGATTTCATTTTAGATATATTGCTCTGTAACGACATTAGGCAGCTTTTTGAATCAGTAAATAAAACTGATTTAGGAATTTTATGGGAAAAAATGTAGGATATAGCCTCATATATGGCTACAGCTTTCCCTGTAAAAACAGAAGCCTGAGGAGGGCATCTATAGCTAAGGACAATTTTATATTTGGGAATCCAGACTGCAGAACCGACACATTTGAATGAAGACAATTTGGAAGCATCAGTAAAAATATATAGCCAATCAGGCCATTTTTTTGCCACTAGGTTATAGAAAGTTCTGTTTGCAGTTGGAGAATTTTTATTAATGTTTAAATTCAGAGTGATTTTAGGATTTATTAATATAGCATCATAGCTGGTTTCAAAATAGGGTAGAATTGGGGATGTAACACAAGGATACTCAATATTTTTTAA